TATCGCTAAAACGAATGTTACTGGAAAGTAAAAACCGAAAAAAAGGATAATTGAATAATAAAAAATAAATGCTACTAAAAAGAAACAATGAAAAAAGAAAGGAAGGAGAAAGTCTATTGTTAAAAAATAAACGATAAAATGCTAATGAAACAAGTTAAATATTTTTTTTTTTAAATCAGAGAAAAGTCCCGATATTATTTTAAAAATATAGAAAACTAGACATAAAGGCGAAGAAAAATTCTTCAAAAAGCGAACTTAAATGAATAAATAAAAGAAATTTATAAGCAACACAAATGGTTTACGAACAAGGGACTTGATGAAAACTTCGAAAATAAAGTGAGAACTTTTTTTTTTAATCAAGTACTAAAGAGAAATAAATAAAGAATAGAATTGCTAGTAAAAGACAGAGAAAGAGTATATTTTAAGGTAATTTCCTTACACAGCATCCTGTAAGTAGCCAAGCAAAACCAGGAAACAACGTTTAGTCGCATTTAATTCCGATAATGGCAAGTCAGAAAGAACTGCCGTTTAAATGGCTTTCTATTGATTGATTCTGTTGGGAGATGTCCCTTGTGGCCCACTCTAGTTCAGTGTGGGATTGTGAGGGAGGTAAACTTAATCTGGGTACATGAACCGGGGTAGGTATTGGGCATGAAACGAAGAAAGGATTTGCCGGTCTTCTGAAGCGAAATACTCCACTTGAACTATTGACGAAAAGAGAGAGATTTTCTCTTTTCATGGCGGGAAATGCAATAGTAGAATTAAAAGCTGATGTACATATATTATTGTAACTTTCCGTAGACTTTAAGTAGGGCATATTTAGATAAATATACAATGGTCCACCAGCCAGATAGTCTGTTTATAATTTGTATATATCCGCAATGGATTTAAATGCGATCATGGCACTCCACATCCTCTTCTCACATATAGCCTCTAAAGACATTTGGCAATTTGCCATACTCCCCGACCCCACTTCGTCCTCCATTCACACAAACATTCTTAAGGTAAGCAGACTGATGCTTTCGCCAGTCTCTTTTGCCTTCGAAATTTCCTGTGTGGCAAATTCCTCTAGCCTCCGTTCCTCACTTTTCTTAAAACAAGTTCGAATATATTCTCATCATCCTTCTGTAGAACTTTATTTCTGTTGCCTCATGTCTCTTCTTTATCTTTGAGTGTCCATCATTCATGCCAGAGGATTGGTATTTCAGTATCGTTTTCTTTGTTACCAACGATGCTTCCTGTTACTTAATACATTACTTAGCTTTTGCAATGCAACTTTTACTATTCCAATAAGGATATTGATTTGTGGCAAAAATTCATAAAACTATTGGAGCAAAAGTGATATCAGATTTCATTACTCACCTAAACAATACAGTTTCGTCAGGAATTCCACAAAGGTGGTATCCATGAAAGACCTGCGATATCTAAACCTCTGATCCCAAAGTCGAACGCCAAGTTGCGAAAAAATGGTGTGATGATCACAATAATTGGACACTCGAGGAATGGAAAAACATTTAGTACGATGAGTCTTCTTTCACGTTATTTCTTACAAACGGCGTGTTTTTGTATGGAGAATACCGCTTGAAGCTTATGATCTGGATTGCATACTACCGACAGTGAAACATCGAGGTAGATCCGTAATGATTTGGACGGCATTTCTTGGTATTCTTCTGATCTTATCATCAATCTTATTGGTAGAATAACTGCTGAAGATAAATATCTCAACATTTTCCTTAATAATGCTCTTACAATGGCTCCCATACTGTTGCCGGAAAGTGCCATATTCTAAGATGATAATACACACATACACGCAGCAGAAAAAGTTAAGTCATGGTTTAATACGCATCATAACGGAATTAAACATCTTCCATGGCCAGCATATCACCTGATCTCAACATAATTGAGCCATTTTGAGGAGTTCTAGAACAGAGCGGAACAGATTTCCTCCCCTATAATTACTGAAGCAACGTTTTGAGATTTTGACTGAAAAATGGGATACATTGCATTAGAAACAATTTAAAACTTATTTGAAACTTATATATATATATATATATATATATATATGTATATATGAGAAAATATATATAAAATAGGAAGGAACTGGTTAGGTAAATAATCCAAAGTCCCTTAGTATTTTAGTTATTATTTTTAAAAACTAGTGCTCGATACAAAAGTAGAGCATAAATATAATTATTTATTTGAAAATATGATTCAAAAAAAAAATTTCGCTTGAAGATAGAAAAGAGCTTATTTTAACTCAATTTAATTTAAATAATTATATTGAAGTTTTCAGCTCTTGTTTTGAAACATGAGACTTCTTATATGTAGCGTTTTGGAATCATATTTTTAAATAAATAATTATATATATATATATATATATATATATATATATATATATATATATATATATATATATATATATAATATATATAACGTAGCAAATTCAATAGCATATAATCCAAGTGGATCCCGGTAAGATAAGATATTAAAATGATCCACAAAATAGCTCAATATTATTATTAATATAGGGCAATACTTAATAAACAATAAAACCTAAAATTACCATGGTTGATAACACAGACGACAGATATCTTCGTCTGCCAAAATAGGCAATTCACCATATGAGGTCATTTGAGATTTTATTGTTTATTACTATATAAATATATATATATATATATATATATATATATATATATATATATATAGAGAGAGAGAGAGAGAGAGAGAGAGGGGGTATCACAGCTTATCAGTGTGAATAGACATCCGATTTCTTCAAGCCGGAATCAAAACTCGACCGATTTGATATTAGTCCTAGACTCTTATCCCTAGGCTATCGCCGCAGAGAAATTCAATTATTAACGCCTTATATACCTGCTATATAAAAACTATACCGATCGCCTTAGCCCTCAAATCTTACGAAGAGCGATACAATAAATCAGATAGATAGATAGATAGATAGTATGACGTCATTTGTTTACATTTGATACGCCATGAGCAGTTATGAATGTAGGAGATTCATGGAAGATTAAAGTTTATAAGCAGTAAATTCGACCTTGCCTACCGAATGCTCCGTTGTGGCCGAGTCGGTTAAGGCACGTCAGCGTAAATGATGGTTCCGTATAGGATGCAGGTTCGAATCCTTTCAAAGGACGAATATTTTCTATGAAAATTTCTCGGACATTCAGGCCGGTAAATGTTATTTAATACTGTTTATTATAAACAGAGCATTTACTTAAATACTTGTATCTATAAAAAGAATGTTAAACATAAAAATGTCTGTAATAGATAGATAGATAAAAAGCGAGTTACGCTAGTGCAATTATTTTAATATTTTTGCTTATATTTCTTTCAATTTAAAGTCAGTTACATTTCGTCACAACTTCAAAATACATCGTTCTACATTACTTCTTAAGCAGTGCAGATAGGGAAAAAGTACTGACAGTATTTTAAGCAGGAACTGGTATGAATGAGGCCTCGATACACAATATTAGTCAAAGAAACTTGTGTTAAAATTAGAGTATATTATTGGGCATCACTTACACTAGATCTCCTGTTTTCAGGTATCTCGGGTCTCAAATTAAGCATGTACTCGTTTTCTGAGCAAAGGCGACATAATATTGACAAAAATGTGTCAGCTCTCTCACCATTTTTCATTCAAACAAAATAGCAATGCTTTTGTATCACAGACGATGAGGACTCAATCATTGTTATCTGTTACAAAAGCTGAGGGAATCCTCATTAAATTGTAAATCTTATAATTATATTTGTGTGCAAAGTAATAAATACACTTTTACTTTTTGCCAAAATATATTATACACTTGACTAACACTTTCATATGTTTAATTCGAAAGATTTGTATATATAAATATTTGCTTACGTTAAACTTTACTTTTATGATGGATGCTTATTATGAGCTTATCTTTTAGTTATAATGATCATGCGTTTTCGGATAATCTTTGGTTTTTTGTAAAACTATACATTGGAGTTTGAGTAATTATATTTCAGAATTGTTGCTATCTTTCATTATAGAATATAATAAGAATTAGAACTAGAGATTAGATATCCCTTATTTAAAATCGTCTAACAACTACTATGCAAGACATAAATATTTGATACTTCCTATTTATTTTGCGTATAAACGCTATGCAAAAGGCATGTAATCGTGACGTTTACTTAAACCACGAAGCTAGAAATTTATACTTTCGTTCAAATTCGTCACATTATGAAATAAGCGTATTTGAACCAGTCACATTAAATTCTTTGATCAATAAACGTTGGTATATGGAATTATATCCTAAAATAATAATGTTTAATAAAAAGAAATATCTCCATTTATTATTTTTTTAATATATATAATGAAGTGCTTAAATGAATACAGACGGAAGACGTTTCAGCACGAAGAAAAGACCGATATTGAATCAAAAATAGAAGCGGCTCGTATAGATGGAAGTCAAACTAGTTGATGGATCATAAATTGTTTTTTTCAATAATTCAATAAATTATTATCCATTGTCAGCTTTAAAAAACATTGTAAAATTTATTTCAATTTACAAGGTGAAAATAATCTTTAATCTAATGTGACCTTAATTCCTATTGTGTAAAATGTTGGTCTGTTTAATTAAAATACAATACTCTATGTCTGAATCAGTTTTAATATTTAATATTTTTATATTTTATTAATAGGATTTACTTGGATTTTATACCAACGGATTATTGCCTATATATATATATATATATATATATATATATGTGTGTGTGTGTGTGTGTGTGTGTGTGTGTGTGTGTGTGTGGCTGTGTCTGTGTGTGTATAAATATCATATGTTTACGGCATTTAGGCAGAAAGATCTTTCCAGGCTTACTGATATATATATATATATATATATATATATATATATATATATATATATATATATATATATATATATATTTGAATATTTAGATTCTTCGACTAGTTTCGGCCAAAATGGCCATCATCGGGAGAAGAAATATTTCTGCTTGCT